AGATAGAGGAAGACCCCCCCCCCCCCCTCCCCCCCCCCCCAAAAAAAAACAAGAGAGTGAGGTTAGAAAGATTGAGAAAACATATGGAGAGGTGCATGCGATAGCGAAGGATAGAGCGATTTGGCTCCATTCAGTTGCAGGCCAAAACACTCTAGCTTCTGTGACGACTTCCTTGGATTTCCGAAACACTCTCGCTTCAATGAGGGATTCCATAGATCTCTGAAACACCCTACTTTCTGTGACGACTTTCTTGGATCTCCGAAACACTTTAGCTTTCGTGGATCTCGAAAACACTTTAGCTTTCCTGACGATTTCCATCGATCTTCAAAACACTCTATTTCTGTGACGACTTTCATGGATCTTCGAAACACCATATTTTTTGTTACGGCTTTCGTGGATCTTGGAAATATTAGCTTCTGTAACGACTTTCGTTTATCTCGAAAACACTCTAATTCCTGGACGACTTTCATGGATATCCAAAACACCCTAGCTTATGTGACGACTTTTATGGATCTCCGAAACACTATAGCTTCTGTGACGATTTTCATGTGTAGCCTAAATACTCTAGCTTCTGGCGACAGCTTCCGTGGATCTCCGAAACACCCTAGCTTCTGTGACGAATTTCATGGATCTCCGAAACACTCTAGCTTCTGTGACGAATTCCATGGATTTCCGAAACACTTTCTCTTCAGTGAGGGATTCTATAGATCTCTGAAACACCATACTTTCTGTGACGACTTTCTTGGATCTCCGAAACACTCTAGTTTCTGTGACGAGTTCCATGGATTTCCGAAACACCCTCGCTTCAGTGAGGGATTCCATGGATCTCTGAAACACCCTTGCTTCCGTAACGACTTTCAAGGATCCCTGAAACATCTGCACTCGTGAACAGAAGGCGGAGTCAAACCCATGACCCCCAGAGCCCGATTCAAACGACGTGACCAACCTTCCACGGAAACCCCAATTTCGGATGCACTTTTGTCGTTATAATGCACTTTTACCTGTGGGCTGGGTTTATTATTACTACAACCTTTCAGGATTATGTCCTCTTGCTTTTTCCCCTGACACTGACGAGTAGGTGAGTCAAAACATATTACCGGCGCTTGGCTGTCCTTGTTGGTGGCAACGACAGACTATCCCTGTGATGTCTTATAAGTTCTGTCTTTGACACCGGAAATCTTATTCGAACACGTCTGGTGAGATTCTTACGTAGAATTAGCCGTTTCCAGAACAGGTGATTGACTGCTGAGATGGTGTCTGAAGATTTCTCTTGAAGTACTCTGCCGTGACTTTTCCTAGAACTTTTATGGATTTCAGTATTTCTGTTGTTGCAGACACGATTTTAATTAGCTAGTGTTGGTAGTCCCTCATTTTAGTGCTTTTTGTCGGCATCAGTGGCTTAGGCGTTGCGAACGCGCTTCGTAATGCCGGTGTGCTGGGTTCGATCCCAGCTGCGGACGGTTTGTCTTGCGTTGGTTTTGAAAGTGGTACGGAAAGCTGACCGTTCAGGGAGCAGTTACAAATCACTGAACAGTAAATTTGAAAAAATCACACAAAAAAAAAAAAAAAAAAATGCTAGGGTTGGTTCTGCAACGTCCTGTAAAGGATACGCAACTAACTTTTTTAAAGTGCTAGTTAACATAGATTCAATTCTTTTTATTGTCTGCATTTTGTCATTTGCATCTTTTTGAAAACCGTTTTAATATTGGCGTTTTCATTATCAAGTCTGATTTCTAAGTTGACACCGTTTTCGCTGTCATAGATTTGTGTACTCTGTTATTGTCATTTTGTCATTTGTATCTTTTTTAAAGTTCGAAGTTAATATACATGTTTTCCTGTCACATCTCTTCATCTCCATTTTACCTGTCTCTCTTCCCCCTCGCCCTTTTCATTTCACAAAATGATCTTTTAGCGCATGACATTTGATTTTTTTTTTTTTTTTCGTTTTGCAATTCTCATTGGGTTCTTTTTTCGTTCTGTTTGATGAGATTTCATAATGTCTATTTTTGTCTTCAAACTTTTTCTTGTATTTCTAATCTGCAGATTACATTTTTTTTTTTTAAATCCTATTGTTGCCATTTTGTCTTTTCACGTTTTGTAGTCTTTCCCTTTTTTGCTGGCTTATCTGTGTGTTTTTCTGTTTGGCAATCAAAAATACATTTATTTATTTTCCTCGGAGTGGCGCGGTAGCCAGATTTCTTGCCTGTCAGTGAGGAGGTTACGCCCCCAATCTTCCACCTGAAGCCTGTGCTTAGAGGGCGCTGTGGTATAGCGGCTGGGCCCTAACCTTTGGGCCTAAGATCGTGGCTTTTTCGGAAACGGCCTTCGCTCACATGTCGACTCGCCCTTAAAGTGGGTACTAGGTAAAGTCCAGGAAAGTAAAGGCGACCGGCGTGATGTCGACCACATCCCTCACCCAATAACAATTTGTCTATAAAATAGAGCTCTAGCCCTATGTGTCTAGCACGCCTAGTGATGTGGGGGAAAAGGGGTCCTTATCCCTGCAGATCGACGCAGTCAAAAATGGGTACCAGGAAATGTGCGAGGAAATAATGACCACCGGTATTACGTTAAGCACAACACTCAGTAAGTTCTGCGTGGTCTCTACAGGCAGTTGCATCATATACCCAGTACCAGCGGCGTCAGAACCCATGATGTAGGCCAGTGTTTCTCAAACTTTTCTTGGTCGCGGCGCCTTTTTTTTTTTTTAATTAAAAAAAAAATTCCACGGCGCCCTAACCTAAGTAAAATTTTGACTGTTGGTGTCTTGGTTAAGGTAATTATGAAGCTTTTACAATATTTTGCGGCGACCCTGTGAAGAGGTCGCGACTTTCCGGGGCGCCGCGGCGCAGAGTTTAACGAAACACTGTCGTGAACACTTTGAATCCTCCCTAACATTTTTAGAGGAGACATGACCAACTGACCTGCAATAATTTGTGTGGAGGGGATGGAAAAGGGGAAGGAGCTCAGCCGTCGTCCGAACAAGCCGCATACAATTTGCAAATATCATTGTGTGTGTTTTTTCTTTTCCCCGAAAATATTTTTGTTTCCATTCACTATTCAGCACGTGACAATAATGATGATGGTAATAATAATAATAATTGCTTTCTTAAAGGAGGCTGACGCCTCATTCCACTCAAGAAATTGTAAGTTGGTTGAGGCTCCTCACCTCTATGTTTTTCTTTGTGTCTACGCCCCAACTGAAGGTTGTGAAACGCGTTCACTAATTTTTACCCCCTAAGGTCGTCGGATACACACACACACACAAATCTTTTAAGATTTCCAGAATTGTAAGCATGCACGTGATCGTCTTTAAAAAAAATTTTGTAATATCCTACGCCAGCTGACGTCACAGAACAGTCTAACATCTTAGACGGTAGTAAGACTAGGTTTCTCGGCTTTCTGATGCTTTTAACAACCCCAAAACATCTAGAACTGGCCCTAACCTCAACCTACCTACGTCCCACAAGAGAGTGTAGCTTATGTCCCACGACTTCATGCAGACTAGTTCCCACGGTTGCATCCAGCCTATCTACCACTCGCTGAAATATTAGACTGTCCCGTGACTTGGGATTTCCTGTTTGGGGTAGAAAGCACATAAAAATGCTATTTAAACCTTTAAGTACCGTGTATATTCCTTACGTCCTTCTTAGGACGTAATTTTTTGTTATTTGAAGCCCCACTCTGGCTTTTGCTAGAAGCCGCAATATAGGCAGGCCATCAATATGGCCAATTGTCTGAACGCGGTTTCTGGGACCTCTCCATGGTGATCATCATCCACATGGTGACACTTTGTGTCATCGGGTGTTTATCGCTTGTGTGATGTCCTGGTGGGGTAGAAAGTCAGTCAGTCAGTCAGAAGCGTTTGTTCGACACGCATGTAACATTCCTACCCCCAGGGGGTGGGGAAGGGGGGTCTGTAATCGGGGTTTGTAACTACCAAAGACGGCCTCATTTACACTGTTACCTGTTACAATATCTCGCCAGGTGTCTGTAGTATGTTTCTTATCGAATTTCTTATCGAAATTAAAACCATGCAGTAAAAACAGCATGCATTTATGGAGACCTACGGAAATAAAAGCTGAGTACACACCGTGTAGTGCCGATTTTGATCATGGTATGGGTCGACACAGGTTGACCCAGCCTAAACTGAGTACCAGGATGTGTGACCTGGGGAAGTGAAGACGGCCGGCGTAATGCTGACCACATTATTCACCTAGTGCCGATTGGTCTGTAAAAATATGGGTGCTTTTCCCATATGCCCAATGCGCCTAAATGGCGTAAAAAGGGATCTTTACTTAACTTACACACCGTGCAATTTTTTTTATCAGCCATGCATCTAGAAAGGATAAGACAAGACTTCCCCGTCAAGCCCTCGTTTGAGCACCGTAAGGGAAAAAAAAACGGGGATGATCAAGAAAGTCTCTACGTAGAACCATCATCAGGGAAGGCTCAACCATGAGCCTCATGAACATCCAAGACTTAAAACTGGTGGCAACGAACCGCCAGACATGGAGAGATATGACCCCTGCCCTATGCGCTCCCCTAGGCTCAAGAGAAATTACTAACTATCCTCAATTTAAAGCTAGAAATCTTATTCCAAAACAGAGGATGTTTTACGATGGTGGCTTGTAGGGACGTAGATCAACATACTTAAGCCAATCTAGAGAGAAACCAAACCATAGGCAGGTCCCAGTGAAACTCCAGACATGGTGATCTATAACCTCTGCCCTATACGCGGCCCTAGGCCCAATGGGAAAGACTAACTCCCCGTACGTTGCTCTCGCAGAAAGAGTTAACTTTGTGTACATAGTAATTCTGGTTGTGTACTTAAACCATTGCTAACATTATTTCCGTATCCTCTATTTTCAGATTTGCCAATGCACTGCTCAAGATACGCGCCCGGTTAAGACTGTGGTATTTTCACAGTGTGATGTAATGGACAGATCCTTGGAGGATACCCATGTGGTATGAGCTGGACAAATCTCCTTCTCGTAGCTATGGCACGACAACCTGACATGTCCCTGCAGTGGGATAGTCAATATCTCATGGCCAATGGTACTGTCTTGTATGACGATCTCCACCAGCTTTTGCTCATGTTTGGGGGTCATTCAGGCCCCAGATCGGAAATGGAAGAGGATAGGGAGAAGCTCTTGTACTACCTGATTGGGATTGGTGGAAGCATTGTTTGCTGTCTTGGGACCATCGCTAACGCTGTGTCTATAGCTGTACTAACGAGGCGCTCAATGCGGTCTAGTACGTACACCTACTTAGCAGCGCTGGCCGCCTGTGACTCCCTGGTGCTGTTTCTAACCCTGCTAATTATCATAAACGATACACAACATCCAGACAGCCCGAAACAAACCGATCAGTTCCACGCTATCTTGTTCCCTTTCGTCCACCCTACTGCTGTGGTGTTCCAAGTCACGTCCATCTGGTTGACCCTGGCGTTCACAGTTGACCGTTACATCATGATCTGCCACCCGTTCAAGGCCGAACGGATGTGCAGGCGTAGCCGAGCCAGGAGGGTCATCATCAGTATATACATCATGGGTGTAGCTTTTAACATTCCGCGCTTCCTGGAGTACAGAACCATCATTGATACCTTACCCGTGACACCCAACTCCAGCCAGGTGATCACCGTCTACGGAATACATACCACCCCTTTAGGCAACAGTGTGTTGTTTCGCGAGCTGATACATTCCTGGTTGTATCTTCTGTTCATTTGTGGCATCCCCTTTCTTACGCTGGTCATTCTCAACGCATTTCTCATACGGGCGGTTCATCTGTCTAGACTCAAAGGAAAAGAGATCAATCCTCGAGAAAAGCACAGAAATGACACTACCATCATGCTTATCGGCGTCATCGTTATCTTCCTCTTTTGCCAGGGACCTGCACTTGTATCTCGAATGATTTATGCCTTCCAGCCGGCTTCCGAGTCGACCACAGCAGGGTTTACCCTCAACGAGGTGGGCAACTTCCTTGTTCTGTTGAACTCAGCTATTAACATCGTGCCCTATTACCTCTTTGGCCGTAAGTTCCGACTTGAGTTTCTGAGAATATTCTGTTCTTGCACGTTAGATAAGGATGACGCGAGGAGAATGTCTCGGAATTACAGCGTTTCATTTGACCATCGTCGCCTCAGCCAGTACAACGCTATCGAAATGAATGGCGTGGCACAGAACAACTGCAACTATCAAAACACCGTTGTCTCTGTAGAGACGATTAACACATCCCAACCACACGTCGACACATTTCCAGACCAGAAACGCCAGGAGACATTCAATGGCAAGACATACTCCATCGCCCACCGCGACTCCGCGGACACTGTTGTCGCACCCTTGATACACCAAACATGCTCCATATTTTCTAATAGACTTGCCAATGCAGGAGCCAGTAGAGAATCCTTGAGAAACATCAGCTCCCATAGCCTTTCATCCCCAGACACCTGCTGCCCTCAGACCGCACCTTTAAAACCAGGCGGTCACGTGCATTATGTGACAGCGGGCTCGTGTTTAGGAGATGGAGACGTGTCTGCTGTGTGATTTTGTTCCTGCCCTGTTACCAGTGTTGCCACTTTTCTTTGACCAAAAAAAAAAAAAAACACACACATCCAAAACAGAGTCAAAAATATCTAAAAACATTTAAATTTGCATGGGAAACATCTAGAAAAAAAATCCAAATGGAAAGAGTCACAAATTACATAGCAATTGATATGACTTACCCTATAGAATCATGTCCTCATCTTTACCGAAGTCTGCCTTACAAGATCCACAGGATAAACTTAGCTTGGATGATGAAGTTGAAGCTTCAGATCCAAAATGACTCTGGTTTGCTTTAGCTGATCCAGTTTCTTTTAAACCCAGTCAGGGAGCTGATAAGTGGCTCAATTTGTCCTACTCTTATCAGGCCGAATTTTATTGTCAAGATAGCATTAAAGAGGTCAAGTTTCATCCTGTTTCTTAGGTTAGATTTGATAAATTCACTCCAATTGAAAATTTTCTGGAAAAAAATTACCATCTAAACGTCAAAACCGCCATCTAAATGCAAAGAAAACATCTAAATCTGGATGTAACACATCCAAAGTGGCAACACTGCCTGACACTTGTTCTCATTAACACGATATAGGGCCCTGAAAAGTGTTCCTTTGTGTATCATAGAATCACACACTGTACTATATAGGGCAATGACTTTGACTATATTGAGATTTCATCTTTTGTTTGTTCAGGCTTATTCAGATGTAATATATTTCCCGTCTGGTCTTTTGGGTCACAGGCATCTGGTGAGTTGTTACTTAATATCACGTGACATGTGTGGTATCTGCCTGAAAACCGCTAGTCGCCAGTGTATTACGGGAAACAAAGAATAGTATGCCTCCCATGCATGTCTTAAGATGCGACTAGGAGGCCTTGGCGAGACACTTTCCAGTACTGTGATAAACTGAGATTGAAGTACGTTAACGATAATAGATACTTCCTCGGCACTGAGATCTTTCTGTTGCTGCATTGATACCAAACCAGAATGTGTCTCCACGATTTATACTTGATATTTTTGTTATGTTTTGTTATAGCTTTGATGGTTGACTGAAAACCACTAGTCGCCAGTGTATTACGGAAAACAAAGGATAGTATTACTAGCCTCCTATGCATGTCTTAAGATGCGACTAAGAAGCCTTCACAACAGACTGTTTACCTCATCTTGTTGAAAAGTTTGGCAATAGAAGCCAACCAATAAGAAGTAATAAGTTTAAAGTTGGAGGTGGCACGAAGAGGAAGGCGAAGGGGGTGGGGTGGGAGAAGGCGGAGGAGGAGGAGGAAAGGTTACAAAAAATAAGTATAAATTAAAAGCAGGAAATGATCAACCCCCAAATGGCCAGCACCGTGATGAACTGAGATTCCAGTACGTTAACGATAATAGATACTTTCTCAGCACTTAGATCTTTCTGCTGTCTCATTAAAACATAACCAGAAAGTGTATCCACGATTTATACTTAATATTTTTTGTTATTTTTGTTTTGATATTTTTGTTACAGCCTTTGTGGCTTACTGTTGCTGTTTCATTACCTTCTGGAACCTTCAGTTTGTAAAAGGAAATCGATCTTGTTCCCTCGAACTGTCCTGTATTCAACATTGTATCCAAGCTGCTAAAGTGAAAGTTTGTTGGTGTTCATATACAGATTCATGTTTGCGCGCATACAAACTCACACACTGGCCCTCACTGCGGTCAAACGTTTCGTATGACCGAGTTACTACACTTATATATATATTTTTTTTAGAATGTCAGTGTTTTGTCATAGTTCATCCCAGACCAAAAATGGGCAGCAAGAAACGTGTAACGTAAACGATGCCGGTTTGTTTTTGTCCAGTTACTCATCGGGTTCTGATTAGTGTAATAACAAAAATAGTAGATATGCCCAGGGCTTTTTTGTTTAGGTTGGTGGGGGGGGGGGGGTGTGTTTTCGGTGCTCACCACAGTTGGCTGTAGTGGTAGAAAGTGATAGAATAGGCCTCAGTTTGAATAATGGAAAGACAGAAGTTTGAATAATGGAAAGGCAGAAGTTTGAGTAATGGGAAAACAAAAGTAATATTTATTTCCAAGAAAAGAATAGTGCCTAAATGTATAATAAAAGTCAAAGACGCTAGTTTATGATAATTTTACAGTTAGATGCCTGGGCACATGGATAACATAAGATGGAAGATGTATCACAGAGAAACAGAACAGGACAGACTAGAGCTGCCTTTTATCACATGAAGAACATTTTGTGCAATAAATCCATGTCACTGGAGGTTAGGACTAGAATTATCGCTTGCTATATAGAGCCCGCATAAATGCATTTGAATATAAATGTTACAGACAGGTTCTAAGAATATCTTGGGTAAAGAAAAGAACAAATGCATCCATACTTCAAGAGCTGAATATTGAAGAGGGTTGGCTAGTAAAGACAATAAAACAAAGAAAATTGAAAAATTTTGGTCACTTGAAACGTCATGGAAGTCTAGAGAGAACAATAATGGAGGGGTATATGCCTGGGAAGAGAGGAAGAGGAAGGCCAAGGAGAAGATGGGTGCAGGATGTGGCAGATGATCTCCAGATGGGTGTATCAGACGCAGGACATCTTGCTCATGATAGGAAGGTTTTCCGGAGGGTTGTTATGGCAGCGAGGTTCCACGAGGGACATGCTACTGAATGATGATGATATAGAGCCAGTTTTAACATACAGCTGTGAATCCTGGACAATTAATAAACAGGCCGAACACTATCTTGAGGCATCGGAGATGCGGTTTTGCAACAAAGAATCCTCAGAATTCATTGGACAGCTAAAAAGAGCAACCATGACGTTTTGAAAGAGACGAGTGCTCGAAGACAACTTATCACAAACATCAGAAAATGACAGTCATCATATTTTGAAAAGAGGAAAACTGGAACATTTTGTAACCACTAGAAAGATCTCTGGAAAAAGATACAGAGGAAGACAGAACGAGAAGATTCTTGACAGCTTTTTGTCATAGCATGGAAATTTGTCAGCACACGAACTGATGCACGCAATTGTGTATTGTGGAGAGGCATGATCGCCAACGCCAGTCGGCAAGGTACTTGATGTTGATGATGGTGACTCACCGTAAGGTGTCTAAAAACAGGTGATGTTACGCACCACAAAGTGTCAGTTACAGTAGTGCTGGGGAAAATGCGTTAAAAAGGTGCCGGTAATGCGTACTATTGTATACTATTAGCAGAATCTCTGGCTATGTACAAGGGGTGCAGTGGAAGCGCAGTGACAGACTCTTCACCTGCCCGCCACATTTTCCTGGGGTCGAATCCGCACCCAGGTGGATTTTTGTTAGGTAACCTAGGCTCCCAGGTCAGTCAGTCCTGGGTAAAATGGCTGCCAACAAAATTCAATGGAGGTAAAGGCGTCTATGTTGACAGCATCATCTGTCGTGCACTAATTGATTGGTCGATAACAGTGCAGGTCTGGCACTGAAAGGACTTGTCTACTCCT